CTGGCTGCATCCTTCCACCCCAGGGAGGGACACACCGGCACAACCGCACCTCCACTGCCGGGAGAAGAGCTGGGCACCCCCTGATGCCTCATTTGTGCCAAAGCTGGGCTCAGGCCATGTCCTCGTCCCCCCCAACCCATTCAGGAGCTCTGCCCCGAGGGCCGCGCAGCGTTTTCCCCCGCCGCAGGTGACTGAAGTAAAAAAGAAAAGGGAAGTGACTTGCCCAAGGTAACCCAGTGAGTCAGTGGCAAGCCAGGAATAGCACCCGGGAGCCCTGACTCACCACGGTGGCTGACCCGGGCCGGGGAGGGCAGCCGGGGGGCTGCCACGGTGATGCCAGGACCATCCCTGTCCCCATCCCAACATCCCAGGTGTGAGTTGGCAATGGGAAGCATGTGAGCAGTGATGGGCTGTGCTGCTGCCTCCGACCAGCTCCGTTCATCCCCCCGCTGCCTCCCGGGTTCTCTCTCCCTCCGTGCCCCGTTGAGCACCATGCCAGGGTTCGTGATTCTGGGATTGCTTGTCCGTGAGTCAAACCCGCCATTAGAAGGCGGCCCTGGGTGCAAAAATGGTGTAGTTTTCCCTTTTTTTTGGCCCTGGAGAAAGCAGGGAGTTAAAGAGAGATAAGTGTGGGGCAAGTGGCACCGGCCAACGCAACGATGAGCTGTGAGACCGGCTGGCTCCCTGGGAAAAAGCCGTACCACGGTTTTTTCCCCGCTTCAGACCAGCTCCGGAGCAGCAGCTTCATGGCTTTGACCCAACGAGACCCTCCAAGACCTTCTCGCCGGGCGGCTGCGTTCCCATGGCACAGCTTGGCCGCGGGCCCTGGTGCCGGGTGTCTCCTGACGGCGTGACATGCCCCGAGCTCGCAGGGGCTGTAACATTCAACACCAAATACTTCTGTCCACCCACGTGCCCGGGCCAAGCCAACGGAGGCAAATATTTCCCTGGCTGGGGACTTTGAAGTGGCCCCATGAAGATGAAAGGGGGAGATTTGGAGCTGCGTCGCTGGTGCGAGCGCGTGAACGCCACTTCCTTCCCGCCTGGCGCTTTGTTTTCCAGCTAGAAAACTTGATACCCCTCTGAGTTTTTTAATGAATTGGGGGAAAAGATGGGGCTGGCGAGGCAGGACCATGCCAGGGGGCAGCCCGGCCCTGGCAGCCACCCCGGGCTTTTGTTTTGTGTAGGGCTGACATAAACACGCCCCGCTGCTGGCCGGCTGCGGCACTGTAAACGCGATCTATAGAAAATGAGGAGAACACGGTGTCCCGAAACAGAATTAGTTCAAGACAGGTGGACTCGGGGCCGTTGGCTCCGGCTCAAAGGCGAGTTGGAGATGGGATTTGATGGGCTGGGGACGGAGCATATGGTATCCATAGCTGGAAAAGTACAGAGCTGCAGGCAAGCGTGGGGCAGTACCGATCGGGCTGGGGTGCATCCTCCCTCCCCAGCACCCACCCCAGTGCCAGGACCCCCCCCATAGAGGCAGGGATGATTTTCACCCCTGTTTCATCAGGAGAAAAGCGTCAGGGCTGGGGGGGGATCAATGCCTGTGGGATCTCATTGATAAAGCACAGGAGAGTCGGCTGGCGATGCATGCGGAGCCCGGGATCACTGCCTGCTGGTTGGGCACTGGGTGCTGCTGGGGGAGAAGAGCATCCCTGGGGAAAAGAGCATCCCCAAGAGACCTGCTGAGCCC